ATTTCAAATCTATTTTTATTGAGCTTAAGAAAATGGATGATGATATTTGATTTATACTTGTCATCTAACCACTTTTTAGCACCATTTCAGATCTAATGATTACAGATAGTACTAAAGCTGCTAAAGTGGATCAACATGTCAACTATGGACACTTGCTTAGATTGTTTGAAGAAACCAAAGCTGACCTCCAACACTAAACCTGACACAACTTTTTTTCTTGGGGCTTAGTATACATGGGATCGGATTCTTCAAACAAGTCTGAAAGGTAAAGTCTTGTGTAGATTTATCACCTTTTATCTCTCCATTTTCGATCCTAGATAGTTAAGTAGATTTATAGTTAGAAAAAATCCGAAAATAGTATTAAGTTTAATAAGTTTTTAGTTAGGAGGAATCAGAACATGACTTGGTGGCCACAACCATTAAGACTTGATTCATAATGATTCCAACAAAAATGATTCAAATGGGACTTGATGGTTACAACCATTATTGCTCACTTCATATGAATTCTTGGATAGATCAAAAAGAAGTGATCATGACTTGGTGGCAACCACCATTAAGGCTTGTTTCATGGAAGCCTATCCAATCTTGGTCAAATTAGAACTTTGGGTTGGTTTGTGTCAAATTAGTTGTTCAGAAGCTGCAGGAGCCGTAGCTTCTAGTTTGAGGACGCCTATTTCTCGGTAGCTTGTGGCAACAAGGCCTACTTTACAAGTTCCGGCTTGCTTGGTTTCATTTTTTCTCTACTTCTTAGATCGTGATGTTAACTTAACGACTACGAACAGAGAGTGCCCCGATTGCTTTTATAAACCAAATTCATCCAAGGTGGCAGGCAATTCGTGAATGCTCCTCCCAAGTTGCGTCTATGTAACTTGCTGCAAAGTAATTTCCAAAATATAGAAACGCGTTAAATTACATTGACAAAGAAGAACACACATAAGTAGGTATTGTTCCTCTGACAATTCACAATTCTGGTTTTTATAATAACATAGTTGGATAACACATAAGCATATTCAGTTTCTACAATTAACTATCAAGTCTATAACTCAAAAGAAAGACAAGCAGCACCTTTCTTATGTCTATGCATATGCACACTAAGTTGATTTGGCAACATATATAGTGTCACTTTAGTGGATTTTTATGACTAAGGTTGATTGAAGATCAGAGGGAGCACTTTATACAGAAGGAGAGTGGGGGGTGAAATGAAACGAAGCCATTTAAAAAGATTTAAAGAGCATAATAGCTTGATGAAGTGTGGGTTACGTAACAGTGAAGTGCAGAGAATTCAATCAGTGACAACAAAGTGGGATAGTTGGGGAAGAGAAAATACTAGGCTTCAGACACATAAGGCATTTTGGGCTTAATTAGACTATTTAAAAATGTTAAGAAACTCCAAAATGCAAGACCAATTTCGAAGATGACATAGCAAAACGATGATTTATGATAGGCTGATTTTTCTAGCTGACGTGAATAAGCTGAATGTTGAACATATCCAACTTTTAGTATTGTAAAATCTTAATTAATTAATTACATAAGTTAATACAAGACAGTGTTCAAAAGGAAGTTGCTTTCTCTTTCCTTAAAATAAACTCTCCATCTTCTCTCTTCTCCTCCTCCGCCGCTTAGGATTTCAAGACAATCTCGGGTTTCATGGTTGGTCCGTGCTTGAATTCTTCGGGTTGCTTTGTGTCAGATTAGTTGTTCGGAAGCTGCAGGAGCAGTAGCTTCTAGTTAAAGGGCATCTATTTCTAGTTCCGGTCTGGTTCTTAGCTGCAGGAGCAGCAGCTTCTAGTTAAAGGGCACCTATTTCTAGTTCCGGTCTGGTTCTTAGCTGGTGATTAGACTAGTTTCTCTGCTTATTTCTGTTTTTTTGTTTACTTTCATTTCTATTTTCTGCTACTAGTTTTTCTGTAACTACTGTCAAAATTTTGAAAATTTAGTATAATAATTTAACATTTTACAAAAAAAAAAAAACAAAAAGACGGTGTTCAAAGATATACCATAACTTAAATTTTCTACACATGTTTACAAGTTTTAGTGTGTAATTGTAAGTCAGGTGCTGGTTTAGGCATGAGCATTCGTGTCCTCGGGTCAGGTTCGGGATTGGGTCATGTCGAGTGATATACCATGATTTTGACCCACTTTTAGTCATGGTATATGAGTGTTTTAATAACTATTTATTATATTATAAAGGCTTTTAAAAGTATTAACAGATTCAAGTACGCTCTAGAGAAATATGGTGATTTTGGTGTCTTTTGAATGTAGACTGCACAGACACATCAGATATTTAGCTATGAATGGAAACCCTCACACCGTTAGATTGAGCCCATAACATGATAGAGATTTGAGTTAGCTTTCCAATTCCACCAGTTTGAGGTCAATCAACATCTTGTAGCAAACATTATGCCCATTTTACTGAAGGGTGGTTAGTCTGCCTCACGAGAGGAAACTATCGAGAAGATAAAGGAAACTTGATCGATGCATCATCCTTTGTATCGATCGATATTGATCCCAGAACACGAGCCAGATATATTTCAAACCCGAATTAAGCCCATAAGAAACCTAAATTACCAAGATACCCTTGGACGACCAGAAACCCTATTTATGTGTTTTGTAAGCCAGTGTTGACGGATAAGCTTTCTTTTATTCTTGTTCTTAGTTCTAGAAGAGAATGGAGGAACTCCATCAGATTCCTCCTGGAACTCCATTGTTTTGGTTTTTATATTTATTGCTTTTATATTTTATATATATTCCTTCTATGATTTTTGTGACTAACTTCATGTCTGAATAGATCCACATGTTAGGTTCAGGGTTCAAATAGGTTCGAGGGATTAGTCCCAACTATAGGATTTCTTGTTGTGATATTAATTAATAGGATGTTCTTAATGTCTATGTTCTAGATTAACTAACTAGAAACCTGATCTAAGGAGTTTAGATTGTTTGAACAACCTTTAGAGAATTCTAAATATCCTGAATCTATTCTATTAAGCTAGGATTTGCTAGAGTATAGCTATAGCTTGATCCAGGGGTCTTTACTGAGCATATATTAACTTGCGCATAAAGCTTAACTAGCCGCGTCGATCGATACTCTTATTGGAAATCAATCGACATCGTGAGAAGTGAATCGATCGATATTTATATAGAATATCGATCGGCACTGCTATTGATCGAACACTCTTGTTTGGGTCAATAGATCCAGTTAATAGACTTATTCAGTAGAGCAGACGCCTAATGAATATTTTTTTATTTAGTGGTTAAGCTCTTCAATATCATGCATACAACCGTTTAGCACCTATAGGATTATAATTTTCAATACCTAAATAGAAACCTTCTAACAACCACCCTTTCATCAAACTCATCTTGGTTACATAAGAACAACTACCTTGTTAGACCTAATTTAGATCTAATTTGTTCCCTAGCTCCTTGTGGATTTGATCTCTGAGTAGTACAGCTGTACCTCTTATTTAAGAGAGTAAAGTCACTCCTTAGGGTAATTTGAGTCATATCATCGAGTCTGGATTCTTCGGGTGTTAGATATTTAGACCCAATAGGTTAGTTAGAATTTTTGGGTTCGGTTCAGGTCTTAGATAGTTAGATCCAATAGGGTAACTAAAATTTGTCGGATTGGAGGTTCGGTTTCAAGTTGGGTTCGGTTTGGGTCATGTCAAGTCCAGCCCAAAAATACCCAAAACACACAAAAAAATACTTGAAAATATTTAAATACCTAAAATTATTAAAAAAATTTACCCTAAATCTTATCCGAAAACATAAAAATATCCAAAACTTTATCTGACTATTCAGATTATATTTTGGAAAATCTAATAAAAACCCAAAACCATACTCGAAAACCCAAATCTAAAACTTAAAAATAATACTCATAATACCAAATATATACTGAAACACATATATACCTAGTATATAGAAATTTTGGATATTTTGGCTACTCCCTCGGATCTCAGATTCGAGTCGAGTCGTGTCCAAGACCTGCGAGTCTTCCACAACAAGACCCAATAGAATAAAATTATCGGTTCGGTTTCTATTCGAACCAGACTTTTTCAGGTTGGTTTCGGTTTCGGGTGAGGTTATCAGATCCGAGTAAAATGTCTATGTCAGTTTTTTTGAGTTCTGTGATCAACTGCTTTTTGCTGGCTATTGGATAGGTGTTTGTATAGCATTGAGGAGTCTCCACATGGAAAGTAACATTTATTCTAGTAAGGACTAAGGAGCCGGGCGATTTCACTTTTCGTTCGGCTCTCTGTTTGTTAATAATGACTAGGACTAAAGAGCCGAACGGTTTCATATTTCGTTCGGCTATCTCTATTTGTTAATAATGACTAATACTGTAGAAACTCTATAAATTAATACTCGATAAATTAAGAAATATTGTAAATTATTAATTTTCTCTGGTCTTAAATTAAAGTCATTCAAAATATAATTCAAATCGATAAACTAATAAGATAATAACTAAACAATATATATGGTCGCATTAAAATTATAAATTGATAATTTATTTCTATATTCATTTTATAATATTATCTTTAGATTTTTAACACTTTAACATATTTTGATGAGATTTAAGTAAAATTATATCTAAAAATATTTTTAAATTCTGTGAGACATATTTATATATACCAAAATATATTATAAATATTATAAATGTTGATTTTCGAAAAATTAATTAATGTATGTAAATTAAATCCAATATTTTTTTTATTTTAGGAAAAATATATCTTAAAATAGAAAAATCTAAAAAGACTGTTTATAAATTAAAGATTCTGTAAATTGATAAAATATTAAACTCTGAACATTAATAATTTATAGAATTTTTACTGTGCTAGTAATTTGTTCCACGTTGGGCATTTTTTCTTGTTAGAAAACATTATATTAGAATAACGAAATCTAAATTGAAAAGTAATAACGTTCTAGAGAGTTCCACTTGAAGTAAGGAAAACGCATTTAAGCATCAAAGGTCTGTCTCCTCAGCCTCAGCCTCAGCCTCAGCCAGCAGTCCCAACCAACAAAAATACATATTCGTCTCACTGCTCATCGAAAGAGGTGGATACTTTTCTCTCTCTGATTTCTAGGTTTTCAAAAGAAGGGTGAAAAGATGTTCGGGCGAGGACCCTCGAAGAAGAGCGACAATTCTAAGTTCTACGAGATCTTAGGTGTTCCTAAGAGCGCATCTCCGGAAGATCTCAAGAAGGCTTACAAAAAAGCCGCCATCAAGAACCATCCCGATAAGGGTGGAGATCCCGAAAAGGTTCTTTTTTTCTACCATAGATCCCTTAGATTCTCTGAAATTCCATCTGTTTTGGGTGTTAGTTTGATTATGGCCTTTCCCGATCGATTGAGGTCTTATGGGTTTTCATCTCGGATTCGATCCGATTTGGGAAGTTTGAGTTTTGAAGTTTTAGCGGAGTCAGTGAACCAAGACAATTTTGAGATTCGATTTAGCCGTTTTGTTGTTTTCAGCTGAATAGAATTCGAAAGGATTGAGCTTTCTTCCTCTATTTTAATTATGTTGCTTTGGAGAGTATGACTCTTGTTTTGTAATGTTATATATGCAAGTTGTGATCTTGATTGGAATATGTGGCTGCAGTTCAAAGAGCTAGCTCAGGCTTATGAAGTTCTTAGTGACCCGGAGAAGCGAGAGATATATGATCAGTATGGAGAGGACGCACTCAAGGAAGGAATGGGTGGTGGAGGAGGAGGTCATGACCCTTTTGATATCTTTTCATCCTTTTTTGGTGGTGGCAGCCCCTTTGGAGGTGAGTCTTTTGGGCCTCTCTCTCTCTCTCTGACATGATAATCATGGATTTTTCTTTCTGATGATTTGAAAATTTTCTGTTAGCAGGTGGTAGCAGCCGGGGAAGGAGGCAAAGGCGTGGTGAAGATGTTGTTCATCCCCTGAAGGTTTCCCTTGAGGATTTGTACCTTGGAACGACCAAGAAGCTCTCACTTTCTAGGAATGCTCTCTGCTCTAAATGTAACGGGTTAGTACCTTCATTTTCACTTTCTGTGTATGTTTTAGCCGTATTGTTCCGAGTTTGTAATAATTATATGTATTGGCTGAAGTTTATAAACTATTACATATGTAAGATGCTTCTTAGTTATATGTTTCACCTGTCATGACGCCAGTTGTTTGAGATCCCAGATGGTAAAATGGTTATTAATTTGTGATTTGTTTTATTTATTGCAGAAAGGGCTCAAAGTCTGGAGCCTCGCTGAAATGTGGTGGGTGTCAGGGTACAGGTATGAAGGTGACAATCAGGCAGCTTGGACCTGGAATGATCCAGCAGATGCAGCATGCTTGTAACGAATGCAAAGGCACGGGTGAGACCATCAACGACCGGGACAGGTGTTCACAATGCAAAGGAGACAAGGTCATCCCCGAGAAGAAAGTTCTTGAGGTGAATGTGGAGAAAGGAATGCAACACAGTCAGAAGATCACATTTGAAGGACAAGCAGATGAAGCGGTCCGTCAAGCTTTAACCACAATGCTTTTGTTCTCCCTTCTTTTTCCTGATTTATAACCTTTCTTTTTGTGCTGGAGCAGCCTGACACTGTCACTGGAGATATAGTGTTCGTCATTCAGCAGAAAGAGCATCCGAAGTTCAAGAGAAAGGGAGAAGACCTCTTTGTAGAGCACACACTTTCTCTGACCGAAGCTCTATGTGGCTTTTCCTTTGTCCTCACCCACTTGGATGGCAGAAATCTTCTCATCAAATCTAATCCCGGGGAGGTGGTGAAACCTGGTATGTATTCAGACACTTAATGATGCCTGGTTCTACTTTTACCACTCCCTGCTTGAAACGTGATTGACTAATCGTGATTTGTTTTGTTAGATTCATACAAGGCGATAAGCGATGAAGGGATGCCGATATACCAGAGGCCATTCATGAAGGGTAAGCTCTACATCCACTTCACAGTGGAGTTCCCGGACTCGCTAAGCCCTGACCAGACCAAAGCACTTGAAGCTGTTCTGCCTAAGCCTTCAACAACTCAGCTGAGTGACATGGAGATAGATGAGTGCGAGGAGACAACGCTGCATGATGTAAACATGGAGGATGAGATGAGAAGGAAAGCACAAGCTCAAAGAGAGGCGTATGATGATGACGAAGATGATGAAGACCATCACGGAGGTGCGCAGAGGGTGCAATGTGCCCAGCAGTGAAAACCTATGTGGGGTTTGCCCCTTTCTTTTCTTATTTTCAGTTTATTGGACTCATGGAGTTTGCTACGGTTTAGACTTCCAGTGGAAAACCGAACCAACTTGTTTTTGTTTTCTCAATCTTAAATTAATGACGTGTTACAATTTTGTGTGTTTTGATATTAAACTTGTAGTAATATATTCAATGTATAAAAAGTTGATAAATCAGGGAAGTTTTTCAAAACCAACCTACAAATTTAATTAAATCCCAAAATCAACCTTTTTCTGTTTTTGTCATTGTTACTATTCATCTATGATATTCTCAAAATTTTGAAATATTAACAAAATTACCATAATTATTTGTTTTTTAGTCATCAATTTTTAATCACTATAATCACCATTTTTAACTCTTTAAACTTCTCAAATTCAGTTTTGAACCACTTTTTTTTTTTTCATTCTAAACCAATAAATCTTCATTTCCTCTCATTTCCTCTTTATTTTCATCTAAAAAACTCTCATAACTTTTATTTTCATAAACATAACTTCATTATTTCGAGTGTACTTTTGTTGGTCGTCTAACTGCTTTTTTTTTTCTTCATATTTGGAGCTTGTACTGTGGAAAAGGGTGGAAACGAGCTTTACACCAGAAAAAGATATCTATTTACATGGTTTTCGTCATTTTTCAGATCTGTGTCACAATAGTAGACTGTATCATATGTCTACGCATATGTGTAGGCTTACGATGCAGTTTACAAGTCAACACATGTTAGCTTTGCAATTGATCAAAATAACTTTTTTGTAAAGAAGATTTTCTTGGAAGTCTATATCATTACCTTTGATAACAAAAAAAAAATGAGGTAGACTTACAAAGAAGTCTACGTAAAGGAGGTTAACTTTGCATTTGACCGAATTTTTGACTTTTCAAAGTAGACTTCCTTGACAATCTACAGATTGTAAACTACCCGAGAGGTCTACAAAAAGGTTCATTTGGTATTTGACTCAAATTTTGATTCCATTGAATATGTTATTTTTGTATTTGACTAAAATGTTAAGAAGTTGACC